TATTGTAGCTTTTCTTTTAGGTGAAATAATTAGATATTCTGGTTCTGTATGAAATACATATTTAGGTGATTTAGGCAAATGAATAATGACAAGCATATATTTATCTCTTTTGTTTTTAAATACTACTTGATTGAAATATGTCTTTCCAATACTAATAAATTCACTATCTCCAAATGTCAAATCAACACAACTCGTTGTAAATGGAAGTTTTTTATCAACTTCTATCGGGTTAATAACACTAGAATTAGATATATTTAAAAACATATTTGGTTGTTCTACTAAAAATACTTTAGGATCAAAACCTTTCCTTTTTCTAAATGCATTGACGATTAAAAATATTCCAATCATCAATATAAAGATAATCCAAACACTTCCAATAATAATTAATAAGATATGCCACCACAATATACCTGTTTCTTTACAACTTAATGGATCATTTGGGTCAGTTGTAAACCCATCAATACACTCACAAAAATCATTACAATTAAGTCCACCATCACATTCCTCAAATTCATTTTTTTGTTTATTGCCACAAGTTTTTAATTTACACATCTTATGTTGAGTAGGTTCATAACCATCTTCACATTCACAATTCATCAAACAATGTTTATTATTTCTATTACAACTGCCTATACCTAAATTTAAACATTCTTTACTAATACAATAATGGTTTTGATAACTATACCCTTCTTTACACTTACAATGTTTATCACATCCAGAAGTTCCTAAATAACAAGGATTTTCTTGAGTGGTATTAAACTTACCGTCATAATAACACAATCTACTACAATCTTCAAAACCATATCCTTCATTACAAACACATTTAAACTCAGAAATAACACATTGACCATGCCCATTATCTTGGTTACATTTGTTAACACATGACGTTTGAATTCTAAGAGTTAATGGTTCATTTTCAATTGACATAAAAAAATGTCTTAATTCTTCTTTTTCTGAATATACTTTGAATAAAACACCGTATGAAGAACCTTCAGTTGTAGTTAAACCACCTTTTTTACCAATATGAAGTTGTTTACACGAAAATGTATTAATATTAATTTCTTCAACATAATGAAAAGAACTAGATAACTTAGTATCAAGAATAAGAGTATGATATGGGACTGTTTTTACGGAGAAAAATATACCTTTTCTTATTATTGGAGAACATTTCATTTGATAAATAACAATATCTTTTTCACCAACAACCATTGTTTGTGGTTTACCAAATGAAGTATAATTATCAGTGTAATCAATAAAATCAATATAGTCATTTCCATCAATGAGTAATGAAGTATGAAATATATCTGAATTTACAGATGCCTTTGCATTGAATGAAATAGTATAATTGACTCCGTTTAATAATCCAATAAATAGAATAAATGTATTTGAATTTAAAAAGACTGAGAATGGTTCATCATTTGAAACAATTGATGAAGCTAAACAATTCATTTGTCCGTTAACAATATTACTGACTTGCATTGAAATTTCCTTATTTACAATTTGTTGATTTGAGTCAAGTATTTTAATATTATAAATACTCATTTGAGTACCTTCAGTAAGAGTAATTGAAGTCCACTTTCCAAACAGATAGTCATTAATTTGGGATGTATTAATACAAGGTGGAATAGAAGGAGTTACTTCAGACATATCAAATGAAAAAAATTTCTCAGAGAAGTCTAACGTACACTCACTTGAATTTACTGGCATTCTATTAAACTCATTTCCTTGAATTTTATTAGAAATGTCAATACATTGGTCTTCAATATTTAAATAAACTGGGTTTGTTAATTGGTCAACCTTTTTTGATGAAATATAATAATCACATTTTTCACAACTATCATCATTATCGTCATATCCTATTTTACATGTTATACATACTTCAGTTTCACATTGACCACATCCAACATTATTACAAAATGTAGAAAAACATAAAGTAATTATGATCAACAATAGTAATATCTTCATTACAATTTTTTTTAGTTTAAAAAAGTATTGTTTTTTTAGTACTGGATGGATTTTGTTTATTATCTAAAAATATTTTTCTTTTCGTAGCAAATAATTTTCAATTGACTTTTTTAAAGTTTTTTCCTGCTATAATTATGTTTTTGTTTTTGAGTAAAAAAAATATGATTTTCTAAAAGTGAAATGATTTTGATGAACTAAAAAATATAATTAAATAGAAGAATATTAAGTAAAAACTATATTAAATAAAAAAAAGACTAAAAAAAGAAGAATCTCAGTTCTTTTTTTTTAATTCAATTTTAAAATAATATCCGCATTATTACTTATGAATTAACTTTTCTTTTGTTAAAATTTGTTATTTTTTTTAACCAAATAATTATGAAAATAACTTAGAGTAATTAAATTTATCATATTAACTCAACAAATATAAGAAAATTAATGATAGTATTATAAACAATTAGCTCTCATAGTTTGTTTAATTGTATATGAGTCAATAGTAGTTATAAACTGTTTGAACCACAACTAATGAAAGGATTTAAAAAAAAGTTAATTTAAAGGAAGAAAAGTTATTCCTAAAAAAAAAATAAAAAGTAGTACCCAATGTTCTATTTCAAATGAAATTAACTCAAATACTTTTTTTTTCAATAATTTCCATACCATAATATTTCATAGTTATGAACCATATCAATTCTGTATTTATTAGATCAATGATAATTCCTCTTATTTTCATTAACTAATTGTTTCTTAATTCAATCCTCTCTTGTATTTTTTCAAAATATATTTAATTAATATGTTTACTTAACTAAAATGGATTTAAATAATTATATGGATGACCATCACTGGTATTTTTGTCTTATTTATATTTTGATACACTTAATTAAATATTTTTTTCAAAATAACCTTTCTTCCTGTTGGGTTATGTCTCTATATTTTTTAATGTGTATATTCAATTCAACTCTTGAATTTAAATTATTCGTATTAAATAGTTTTGATTTCAAACAAACTATACTTATTCTTTTAAGAACATCATATATAATATTAAATTATTAGATAAGAATAAATGATAATAAGTCTTTTTGAAGTATTTTAGTGTTAGATTTACTGTTTTTTTATTCAAACATTATCTAGTAGAATTTTCTATCCATTCTATTCTCATTATTCTAACTCGAGATAATATCTTATATCATCGTACTATATCAAATAGTTATGTCTCAGTGAATTATAAAATATTTTAATGTTAAAAAAAATGACTTTATATATTATTTAATATGAATTTATTATATTTTAATTCTTCTTTAGTGTTATTCTTGATACTTCTTGTAAACAATTTCATAATTACATTCAGAAGATATTATTTAAATAATTCTTTTCTTTCGTTATATTATTCTTTGAGTATAAAAATAATTCTTCTTTTAACTCCTTTTTCTCTCTTTTGACACCTTGTTGTCTAATCTTTTTATTCTTTATTCTTTTTAATATCTTTAATATTTTCTTTTTTTGTGTGTAACATATTATTGTTTTTTCATGTGTTATTCTTTTATATTCCTTATCTTTATTATTATATACCTATCACTTCGTTTTTCAGTTATTACTTCTTTCATTATTTCATCAATTCATTTGTATAAACCCAAAGCAAATAAAGTTATTAAAAATTTTGTTCAGATTTTATTGAAATGAAGAAAAAAGGATGAGTTAGAATGGTGATTTTGGTTAAAGTTTAAAATAAAAATAATACAAAATAACAAGAAATATTAATACATCAAAGTTATTGTTACTTCCTAATTTTCAAAAATAAGAACAAATTAATAAAAAAAAATTATAACTGATTGGTTATCTATTTTTTGTTATAAAAAGAAATATTTAAAAAGTTAGAAAAATCTTTAAAACAGCATTTATGAAAATAGTAGAATTTCCCCTTTTTCCAGAAGTTCATCCAAATAATTATCCACAACCATCAAGGGATTTAACACTTTATTACAAAGAAAAAAGAAATAAGTGTATAGATAAATATCATAACAAAGTAAACAATATTGAATTACTACTAAAACAATGTGAGAAAAATCATTTTGAAATAAAAGAATCAATAAAATATGGTACATGTAGATCATGTCATGAACATGGAATATTTGGTAAATTGTGTGAATGTTGTAAAGAAAAGACATGTTTTAAATGTTTAAAAGAAATTTCAATTGAAGTTCAAAAAGAAAAAGAAGAAGAAATTCAAGGTAAAGAAAAAATAAGTTTGTTTGTACAATAATTATGAGAATAAAAGTATTTAATTACAAAATAGAAATTATTTTATGTAAGAATTGTATGGCAGTATTTGATTCAATGAAAGAAAGAAAGTTACTTATTCAAGTTCTTTCACAAAGTCATTACAATATAAAATTAAGAGATGATGTAGTTAATGCTGCTCAAAAAACCATTACAGTTAAAAAGATGTTAAATAATGCACATGATAAAAATGAGATAATTGAATTATGTCATAATGGTTTAAAAACAATAAAAGAAATGCAAAGACTAATTGATAAAATAAAAACTGAAAAACATCAATTTGATTCAAAATCTGATGCAGTTATTGCATCAAATATTTTAAGAGCACTTTCTTATTTTAATGGAACATTTGGATTTTATTTAATTGGAGAAATTGAAGTTTGTTATATTATTATATTCTAAACCATATTTAATAATGAATTAAATTAATGAATTGATAGAAAACTGAAAAAAGAATGAACAAACCATTACCATTACCAATTATTAATTCAATAAATTGTAGTGTTGTTCCAATAAATGGTGGAATAATTAAAATTAAAGGTATTGGAATTGCATCAGGAATTGAAGCATTTTGTAAACAAAAGAAAATTAAAAGTGAATTTATTAATGGAGATTTATGTCTTTCAATTCCACCAACTACTTTTCAAGAAATTGGACAAAGCGTTGGACTAGAATTACTTACTGCAGATAAAAGAAAAATTCCACTTCCTGGAGATATTATTTACTGTGATTATTAGCAAAAGAAAAATATGATCAATTGAAATTTAATTAAAAACTTCTTCCATTCTCATAAAGTTTCCATTATCATTATATGGCATCCAAAACATTTGTTTAATTCTTCCTAATGAAGAAACAACAGCACTTTTTCCTAAGAGTGGCATTAATTTATCACTTAGTATAATATCAACATCAGTAATAGTTCTATAACAAAGCATTCTTATATCAATAGAGTCTCTATCTAATGTTATTTTGTTATACATTACAGAATCTATACAATTTTGTGTTTCTACTTTTAATTCAAAAATTTCATTAAGTATTTGAGGAGGAACATTAAATAATAATTGTTGAACTTTTTCAACTAATTCCATTGCTTTTCCCATAACTTTTCTAATTTTTGAATTAAATTCATAAATATTATCATTTGTAATTATAAATGGATCAGGAATTTTAATTATCCCATTCATTGGATTAATATATTCTTCAACTGTAATTTGAAAATCAGAAGGAGCTTGAAGAAGTGCAGTTGAAATTATACGTACATTTTGTAACCAACGTTTTCCAATTTCATCTTCTATTATTTCAGTTTGTAAAGCAGAAGTTTGAATATCTCTTAAAGAGTTTTGT